GCCTCCAACCTAAGAGCGATGGCCTCCAACCTAAGAGCGATGGCCTCAACCCAAGAGCGATGGCCTCCAACCTATTAGCGATGGCCTCCAATCTAAGAGCGATGGTCTCCGACCAAAATGCCATTCAGGTGCCCCAAAGATGGGGACGAATTCCACGGCATCCTTTTTGGTGGAGGGACATGCCATGGACTGGAGGGCAGTTTTTCCTGATGTAGACCACCCAAAGTGCTGTCCACCTGGAAACCCCTGGTCACATCCAGGAGAATCCAATGACAAGAATGACAGCAAGATGAGCACGGGCTGATCAAAAGGTACCGGATGCCAGGGTTCCATAGTATTCCATTCCTTACTACTTGTACTCAGTGTGCAATGCAACCATGGCACGACAGCGACAGGTTCTGACCGAGGGTGTTGTTTTTGTCACAGCAACTGCGACCGCCACCGGGTGTAAATATGCAGTGCAAAGGGAAGCAGAATGGAAAGCCCTAGGATTCCAACCACCATTATGTGTATGATTGTATACGTACTATGGTTTACAGTAATGGTATGTAATGGTCATGATTCTTACCGAACAACCATTCTTTTACCAAAAGTTTGGACGACAAAATCCAACCCAGCCATTTCTAAAATGCTCTTGGAAGGCCAGGGCATTGAGTCCCTCAAGAAGTATATACCCCAATTCCCCCAAGAATTTACACCATTACTGCGCCCTTTTCCATAAAGACTTTCAAGACTTAAGCCAGAAGAAGCCACAGCTCGGATCTTGCTCCGTCCTTCCCCGTCTGCGCTCTACGGCGCCACGCGCCGTCGCCGTCGGCTGCGGCACCAAGGACGGCGGCCAGCCGACATAGCCGTACGCGCCGTATCGATGCGACCTGGTGCTTTCGGAGGGACCGAGGGTAAGGCCACGCCTAAGGCCACGCCCAAAACAACGCCTTGGGAAGGGCAGCTGTGGAGAGGGCAGACCTCAGATTTGGGGATCCAGTTTTTGGAGAGTGAGAAGATGTATTTTGATGGTTTTTGGATGGGAATTCACCATCTGCTGGAGGGTCAAGGTCGCCATGGACCATCCCACCTTGTGGTTCCTGGTTGTTTTTGGAACCTTGGTGAAGCTGTGGTCGGCCATGGAAATTGGGTATCGGTATGATGGTATAAGCAGCTTTCATACAGTGTTCAGCTAGGATGAATCCTGCAGGGATGGCCAGCACTCTGTCAGTCTGTCTACACTGGTTCAACTATTCTCCCAGAACTCCAAGGCAGGGCCCCGGTCTTCGTGTGTTTATAGACTCCTCCTGCGGGCCCGGTCGTACGTCCATTCCCGGCAGAAACGGTCTGCCAAGGGGACTGGGTGAATGGGTGGGCAACGTTTCTGTGGACCTCATCGGTCCGTCGATGCTGAGTTGTGGTCCGTCGATGCCGCGGAGTCGCTGGGAGGACCGCTTCAGACACCGAGAGTGGGTCTCTCAGTGGATGGTTCACAAACAGAAGTCAGGTCGTGGTTCATCAGCAACCAAGACCTGCAGCTTTGACCAAGAACCAACTGGTGTTTCACTGGGTTCCAAGCGGCGAAGGCTTCAAAGACCACAGGATCCCAAAGAGAGACTTGTGACTTACACATGGTCACCTCTTCCTGTCGAACTATTAGAGTGCAGCTGTTGCTCGAGGCTGGAGCTGACAATGATCCATACCGGGCCGGTCGGACATCACCACTGTTGCTGACAAAGGATTGAATGGATTGCATGTGGCAGCTCTTGACCACTAGCCTGAACTTGTTTGGCAGTTGCTGAAGGCTGACGGTGGGGCCAACTGCTGAAGGCACGTAGGGGGCCCACTTCCAAGTTGCGCATCTCATCTGCTGAACTATGCCATGCTGCTGGATGTGGCTTTCCAAAGATGGTTGCACTGCTTTCCACTTTGTCACTTCCAGGGTACCTATGAAGTCGTGCAGCTTTTGCAAGATGCCTCAGTCAGCTGACCTGAACAGCGACAATGCACTTCTTATCTTAGAAGGAACTGGAGCGCGGGCGAGCAAAGCATTTACTGTAATGTGGTTGTCCCGGTCGTTGTGGCGGCCGTTCCTTTTGACCCTGTGTTCTGCTGCCCGTTTGGTTCGGTTGACCGGTTCACCGCCGGAGTGTTTCGTTTCTGTGGCCCTTGACCGGTGTCAGGCCACAGCCAAGGTAAGAAAACCCTCCAGTGAGTTCGTTGGGGCGGTGAAGTTCTGGGTGCAAGTGGCGGTGAAGTCCTGGGTGTGCCTACCCCCTGCAACATAGACCCTGAAGATTTACCCCTGGAAGAGCATTTTTCTCCACAACTCTCTGCAGGAGGGTAGTCTTTGCAAGACACGGAAGAGCTTCAAGCCGTCCGTCACGTGCGGTGGGCATCTTACCAGAGACCAACGTCCGATCTCAAAACCAAAAAACGTCAAGATGTGAATGCTCCCTTGGTAAAGATCTGAATGCTCCCTTGATTTTCTCTGACCCCAAAAAAGTCAAAATATGTATGGAAAAACAACATATTTATGGGGTCAGAGAAATCCCCCTTGTGTCCACAGAAAGAAAAGCAGAGCCTCCGTAGCCCTCCAATCCGAGGTGCCCTGGATCGCAGGTCCCCAAACATATGGATGCCATGGATATCTTGAGGTCGATCTTCAGTCAATCTTCAGGGTCCCCAACGGCGCGCCACCCCAACGGCGCGCCACGTTTGATCAGACACCGAGGACATCGATGACACGTGCGGCGCTTCAGCAGCGCGTCCAGATGTTCGCCCTGAGGGCTTGGGCTGCTTGGTGCACACATTGACCTCGCGGGGAGCTGCGGGGGTCACCAGATCTGCGGCCGGACGGTAGCACATCCGAAAGCTGGTTCCACGGGTGAAACGGGTTCTGAATCTACGGTTCGCTGACAATATGGGAACTTTACCAAAGCTCTATATGGGAACTTTACCTTACTTATAGTAATTATAGTAACTTAAGTACCCAAGTGACTTCGGGAAGATGTCATTTGATACCCACAAAGAGGTTCTCAATGGTTATTCCAACATGTCCGCCCTTTGTCAAAGTCCATGGAGCAAAGAAAGGCAGCCTCTTCATGTCGTCTTTACAGAGATCTAACCAGGCAGCCTCTTGACCCACTTCTTGGCAGGGTTTGACTTATCCATTCGCAGATGTGAGGTTTTGTGAGGTTTTACATGGTTTTAAACTGTTCAAGTCTTTGCCTCAGATGGGCGTGTGGGGTCTTGGATTTGAGATTCATTCTATAGATCTTGGAATTTCAGGCCGCAGTACCTACAGTGAAAAGGCACCGAGACCTGGTCTGTACTCTCCTTGAAGACCGTCTGTCATTTCTTGGTG